AAAAAAAGGGGGGGAGTGTTTATTGCTACCTAAAATGGAATAGGAAAGTGGACCAGACTAAAAACTCTTCCTTTGGTGACTTTGTCCTTCTAACCTTGAGGAAGGGGCTTCTGATTGTCAGTTAGGAGCTTCAGTGCTAACACGGGGTCTACAGACCTGTGGGGTCGGCATCTGGGCTCTTGGCTTTACTATTGCCGATCTTTTTCAGTTCTTTCCTCTTAACTTTTAAAACTAAATACATGTTTTCTTTATGCATTTTTCTGGGGAACCAATGTGATGCCATGGAAAAAGAACAATATGAAGTTTAAAAAAAAAAAAAGCCCCAGGCAGGTCCTTGCTCTGGCATTTACTACCCTTGTGACCTTTGGTATGTCCTTATATTCTATGAATCTTAGTCCCATCATTTGTAAAATAAAGATGCCCTCTCCCTTACAAGGTTGCTGTGAAAAAGAGAGGAAATATATGTGAAGTATAGCAGCAACTTACTATGGACATTCTATTATTTTTGTAGGCGAGGGGCCACTACCTGTGGGCAACCTTAAAGAACTGGAATCCTGTCTCATGGTTGAGGCATTAGACCAAGGGCTATAAGGATTGAAGAATAAAACATGGCCCCTCAAAGAACCTGAATAAACACCTCCATAAAGAGGACAGATGGTCAATAGACATATGAAAGGATGCTCAACATTATTGATCATCAGAGAAATGCAAATTGACCACAATGAGTTCTCACTTCACACCTCTTAGAATGGCTACCACGGAAGCCTCATGCACTGTTGGTGGGAAGGCAGGCTGGAGCAGCTATTATGGAAAACCGCACGGAGTTTCCACGCTGCCTTATGACCCAAAGGGTACCCTTAAGGGTACAGATCCAAAGCCCAAAAAACCCTAATTCAAAAGAATAAGTGCATCTCTATGTTCACTGCCGCATTATTTACAATGGCCAAGATATGAAGCAACCCAAGTGCCTATCAAAAGATGAGTGGATAACAAGTTGTGGTACATATGTGCAATGGAATATCACCTGGCCATAAAAAGAATAAAATCGAGGTTCAGCACGCAGGAACCTAGAGGGTATTATGCTAAGTGAAGTAAGTCAGAGAAAGACAAATATCATGATTTCACTTATATGTGGAATTTAAATAAACAAAAGACTCATAGATACAGAGAAGAGACTGATGGTTGCCAGTGGGGAGGGGGTTGAGGGGCTGAGTGAAAAAGATAAAGTGATTAAGAACTTCAAGCTGGTAGACACAAAATAGTCCCAGGAACGTAAAGTATGGCATAGAGATGTAGTCAATAATATAATAAATGTGCATGGTGTAGGTGGGTACTTGAACTATTGAGGGGACTACTTTGTAAAGTATACAACTGTCTAACCACTATGCTGTACACCTGAAACTAATACAAAATAATAATGAATGTAAACTGTAGTGGAAAAATAAAAATGAAATTAAAAACAAACAAAAAAGAAAAACATGGCTCCAGCCCTTTCTGGACTTATAATTTAGGAAGGGAGAAAATAAAAGAAGGGCTTTAAGAGCTAATGAGAAAGACGAGGTAGGAGTTTGAAGGAAAAAATTTCCATGTGCCATGCGCCAGGAACTTTACCTATACTCAACTAGTGTTGCAATTTAACAGATTTCAACTCCAATTATGTGGCAGAAAAACAACTCTAACTGCCCAATTTTTGTAATGGTTTGAAGCACACTTAGGGCATCCTGATAGGTTATGTCTTATATATGCAGAATGCCTGGCAACCCTATCTCCATCCCTAGCAACAATCTTATTTATATAAATAATAAATCCTATTTATCATCTCCATTTTACAATTGAAGAAATGGACTCAAGAGCTACCAAGTGACTTATTCAAGGCTACAGGCAGAAATGGCATAACTGAGAACCATGCCCTAATCTCTTCAGTTCTAAAGCCTGGAATCTTTTCATTGTACTATTCTCAACACCGACAGTGTAAGATTTAGGTTTAAATTCCAGTTCGACCTCCAAGTATATGCCTGGCTTTAGGTCAATTTCTCCTGCACTTCAGTGCTTTCTCTGCAAACCCAACAAGCTGACTGAGCTTCTGTTCAGTTCTCTAGACTTCTGAAAACTAACCACACAGATTCTCAGTGTGGCCCCTGGACCATCAGCATCGCCACACGGGAACTTGTTAGCATATTCATGGCCACACAGGACCTATTGAATCAGACTCTGGAAATTGGCCAGAAGCCTCTTTTAACAAGTTTGAAAACCACAGACGTTCAGCATTCTGAAAGAATGCAATCATTATACCTTTTCTACTCCACAACCAAGTGTAGGACTCTCAATACAGTTCTCCTGAAACTTTTATGGTCTTAGAAACTTGACATTTACACTGACAAACTGAAAATGCCTGTCAATAACACTACTATCTCACCTTTAACTTCCCCTAAATGCTATTTTTTATTGTACTTTACACTATTACGGTTGTTCCCACCTTTTCTCCCTTTGCCCACCTCTACCCAACCCCCATCCAACCTCCCCCAAGCAATATCCATATTGACCATCCATGTTGTCTGGCTAACCCCTTCACCTTCTTTCATCCACTAAATGCTATTTTTAAGTCAGAATTCTCCCTCATCAGGTTCATGTTTTATACCTCCTTCCTTCACTTTCTCTTTAGTCATTCAACTATCCATTTTGTCATAACCCTATTTAAACAGTACCCACTACTCTCTTCACTCCACATTCCAATCACTAATTTGCTGTCCTCAATGCAAAGTAAATCTATGGTCCTATGGATACTGATTGCTTTGAATGTGGCAACTATTTCAACAGAGATTGAAGTTGACCTATGAGTTTGCTAAAGGAATATGTTTATTCCATCCAACAGACCCCTCAAATCTCCTCAAGCACTTTTAACTTCTCTGCAACATTACTGCTTGTATATTTAAATAGATTTAAAAACCCTCCTCTAGAGTCTAGGGAGAATCTCAAAATACTGCAATTTTCAGTGTATGCTCGAGCATATCAAAGTCTTATATTGGTGATGAAATATACAGCCCTTTTCCCTCTTAAATACAGACTGAAACAAATAGAACAAGTCATTGCATGATGTCATGAAGTTTCAAGACAACTTAAACTATATGCAAGTCCAAGTTGTAAAACTCACCAAAAAATAGTGATAACTGAGCTACATCTGAATCAGCTTGGGGAACTTCTGAAAAAACAAAAAACAAACAAACAAAAAACTTCCTGGAATACATTTCCTAACTTTCAATTTCAGAATTGTTCAAGGTAGAACCAGTTAGTCCCAGGTGTTCCCAGTGCAAAACAGATTTAAAGACTACTGGCCCAGAGACAAGCTCCATTTTAAAATTAATCAGAAGCACCATAGCCAATTAAAAAATATGCATGAGATGAGGATCCAGTTAACTTCTCACCCAGTCACTTAAGCTGACAAACACTTCATATAGGACTACACAAGTATGCACAGAAAGTCACTCATTACAGCAATGGATGATAGTATTCTATCATCTCATTGCCAGGGTCCAAGTAGGTTCTAAATAGATAAACTGACTTTTCAAATTAAAGCCCATGGAGAAATCAAGGTTTCACGCTGCCTCTACCAAATCACACACGGCACCAAGCATTTAACACCATGCACTTATGTATTGCTGTAATAAAAGTACCAAGAACTAATTATATCAGATATGTTGATAGTTTCTTTTGTGTGTCCCTTCATTTATCAAATCACCCCCAACCATTAATAACTCTCTACAATGACCCCAAATGACTTCCATATCCAAGGCTCTGCATTCTCTTACTACAGGCTAACTTCCACCAGAGGACTTAGAACAAAGCCACCAAACATCTCCTAAGCTCCACTGCTAAAGTGACCCATACATAAACTTTCTCCTGCAGACTGCAAAAATTACAAGACAACATAAAGATCACCCATTACATTACCCAATCAGTTTAGTCACAGGACCAATAACACATGAACACCTCTTCTAATCATAGGTAAATAGGAAAAAAATAGAGAATATGTGGTTAAAGGAAAGATGCACACTAAAAGTGATAAAATTATTTTTACAGACATTTCTCTTGGCTTTAACAGTTAATTTAAATCAGGCTGCTAATAAGAACACGTTGAGCATTGTTACACAATTCACAAAGTTTGTGATTTTTGCTAAATACTTTTTATACAAATACTTGAACCTTCTAAGAAGGCTGCTAATAAAAACTTTATTTGCAAATTTTGACATAGTGTTTAAGTCAGAATTGAAAGCCACAATATGCAACTCCTTTGCAGTTATTACCTTTTACCAAGTCACTTAGATAAATATCTTTCATAACCTACCTAAAAAATAGGGTAGTTCATAAATTCTCTAAACTATGCCCTGCTATGGACAGCCTTTGATCTTTAACTACAAACCTTAGCAAACTTCGGCATACTCTAAAGCTAGTCTTATAAGTTAGTAAAAACCTCTATAAATTTAGCATTATTTCTCAAATCAGGGCAGTTTCCTCACTCTGAATGCTTAAATATTTAAATCACAAATTGAAATGCCAGCAGAAATTAACACGTGGCAAGAAACTGACAGAAAAATTGAAACACCCAGAGCATACAAATACTTCAAAGCATTATGAACTTTGAGCTTAACTAGCACACTTTCCTAAATTCCAACTACAAGAAAACCCAACTGTTACAAGGTTTGATATGATAAAAGTTAACTCAAATTTTCTCCAATTTCTGACATCAATATTAGAGTTATAGTTTTATTATAGTAACAAATAGTTGTTACAGTGAGATCTACACACATATACAGAAGTATTATATTTAAATTCATATAGAACAATATTTACATTTTTAAGTTACAACTTTTGAAGTTAGAAGATGAAGTACAGCTTCAGTTTTACAACAAAGAAAACAAAAATATAGAAGACAAAAATAGAGTTGACAGTAAAATATAGCTATCTGTTCTTGATACTACACGTGGAAACTCTTTGTCAGAAAGCTACATCTTCTTAATCTGATTGTCCAAATCATTAAAATATGGATGATTCAGTGCCATTTTGCCAGAAATTCGTTTGGCAGGATCGTACACCAACATTTTCTGGAGGGGAAAGATAAAAAGACAAAAGGGTTTTTATTTATTTAAGAAATGAACCATTTAAAAAAAACTCCATAAAGCCTAAACATCTCAACTAATAAGCCATAAGCTAATTGTATGAAACCTACAAAATGACCATTAGTTCCCATTAGTTCAATAGCAAACCACAAACACGACTCATCCTCATTATTTCATCCTCTTGCTCTGGAATAACCTCTTCCTAAAATTTTAGATATCTCAATAACCTCTTTTTGCTATAAATTGTGATTTAGGATGCAGGCATTCAGAAATAGCTTTAAAGCCAAGACGTACATTTAAGAAATATATATAATTATATCTACTTTGGAAATTAAACGGTCATTCAAGTTATTTACAACATTTTTTTAAAGTGTGTGTTTTTTTAAGATTTTATTTATTTATTTCTAGAGAGGGGGGAAAGGAGGGAGAAAGAGAGGGAGAGAAGCATTAAGGTGTGATTGCCTCTCACGTGCCCCCTACCGGGGAGCTGGCCGGCAACCAGGGCAGGTGTTCTGACTGGGAATTGAACTGCCAACCACTTGGTTCGCAGGCTGGCACTCAGTCCACTGAGCCACTCCAGACAGTACTATTTATAACATTTCTGACATGGTGGCAATAAACTAAACTACAGGGGTTTCTGATGTAGCTTCCAGCAAGTTCCAAATAAAAACAAAACCAGAGTGCAATGTGTTATAAACAGTTATAATGAGTCACTAAGTGAACCAATCTAATATTAATTCATATATCACCAGAAAGAGATGACCAAGTTTAATACTGACCTTAAAGTTTATCTTAAAGAAATATTAATCTTAAAATCAAATCAGCACACAGAGAAGATATACTTCTACTATCTAGTTACCATCTGAGCTCTTCTTTGGCATCTAGCATTAAGTAAAGTGCTTTGCAAATATCATGTTACTTAATCCTCACCACAAAAGGCACAGCATTAGTTCCATTTTACAAATTAAGACATGGAAGCTCGAAGTTAAGTAATTTGCCCAAGTTCATAGAGCTAAGGAACAATAAAGCTAAACTTTAAAAACAACCTACGGGACAGCTCCCTGGCAACAAAGAATGATCCAGTTCAAGATGTCAATAGTGGCTAGACTAAGGACCTCTGATTTACAGCATTTGATTTGTTTTGTTAACTGAAGTGCAATTCTTTGTATTTAAGAATTACAGAAGTTAAGAAGATAGACTGGGCCCAGAATATGGAAGGTCTTTTATGTCAACTCAACAATATTGATATACAAAATATTAAATAGCAGGTAAAGGACTTTGGACTTCACTGCAAACAACTGGGAAATCTGAGCTGAATTTGGTGGCACAATGATTTATAAGGTGAGAAAGGTGCCCAAGACCAATTAGAAGATGTATATAATGATATAGCAATAGATTATTTTTTACTATATTTAGTAACCTGCCAAAATATTTTTTCTAGAATCAAGTTACCTGAGATTTATTAAAAATTACTTCCTTCTAAAAGCTCAATATTTAAATACCATTCTAAAACTTCCTGAAGCAGCCCTAGGACAATTAATTTTTTTCAATCCTAACATGTCTTGTTTCTAAAGAAAATAACTGTTAGTTGGAAATGGCAATGTAATAGGAAACATTCTCAAGAACTGTATCAGTCCTTCACCTAATGTTTCTGCTGTAGAAGGATGGTACAAAGTAAGAAATGGGAGTTCATGCAGTAGAAGACTTTAATACTAAAAATATCAAGCAAAAAGGGAAACACCTTTAACTAGGAAGGCTGCTACAAGTCAGCAACCTAACCAACAACAACAGGCGTATTAATACTGACCTTTCCTTCACAGAATATCTGTAGCTATCAGTTAAAAAATAATAAAAATAACGAAAAGAACTAACATTAATTCCGTTCTCAAAACCACTCAGATTTCTTGGTATCTGAAATGGAGCTAGTAATACAATAAACATAACAGACATATCACTAAGTTAGTTTTCTTCCTATTTCCCAGTTAAAAGAAAGGATTGAGAATATTCAGAATCATCAGTGATAGCATAAGGGCACTCCTTACCGAGAGCAGATCCAAGCCATTTTCATCCAAGTTTTTGACATGGGATGCTAGGCTTCCTGGTTTCCACTTAGGAAATGTATTCTTATAGTCCTGTAAAGATTCCACGTCTGGCCACACTTCGTTGTTGGGGGTACCCAAAGCTCTAAAAGCCATAGCAAAATAAAAAATTATTAAAGCATAAATATCTCATTATATTCATGTTGCCTTTAAAGTTCGTAACACCTTTAGGAAAAAACAAAAATACCTGAAAATTCTGAAGAGTTGATCAATTTCTGAATCTCCATGGAAAAGTGGTTTCTTAGTTGCTAATTCAGCAAATATGGTGCCTATACTCCAAATGTCAACTGGAGTTGAATAGCGAGCTGACCCCAGCAAGACTTCTGGAGATCTATACCAAAGTGTTACTACCTATTACAAAGCAAATTTTCACATTGAATAAATATGTGGCATTAAATTACCTAAATATACATTATTTCTATTTCATTACAACTGTCCTACAGAAGGCCTCTGATAACACTTTTAAAAATTAACAATATAACACAAAATACTAAATGGAAGATATTTCATTTCTAACTTTTATTCATTAAGGTCGGGGGTGGGAGGCGGTGGGAAACAGATAAAGCACACCAAATCTTTTCTTGCTTTTGAGATCATTAAAGTGTGGATCAAAAAAGTTCAGACAGCCTTAATGTTTAATGTTTAAAAAAAAGAAAAAAGAAAAAAGAAAAGCCCATTTGATAATGAGGGATTTCGGGTGACCACTGAACAAAGTGCACATAGTGCTTAAGTGCTAAAAACATGAGTAAGTCATAACAAGTTTATTAACGGTCTGGAGCTGATCTATTATTCAGTATATAACTTATCACAATGGTAACACTTTTACCTCTAACTTAAAGTTGATGAGGTCAATGGCATTAGCCCTGGGAAAATGATATAAAACGATGATAAAAAGCCAAGACACCTAACCAGATGAGCAATGCCATAGATTTTGATCTGGGGAAAGTCTTTGGGCTCAAGGGTAGACAACTCCACAAAAGAAAGTTTCCCAATATGAACATATGCCACATAAAAATGTTTCAGTCAAGGACAAATGGCATATATGACAGTGATTCCCTAAGATTATAATGCAGTTAAAAAACGTTTATAGTCCAGTGAAGGCATAGCCACCCTAATGCTGTAGCACAACACTATGCTTTTGAAAAATGATTTAGTATAGCCTCCTAACTACATAGTTTATAAAGTCTTCAGTGGTGCACAGTAACGTCCAAAATCTTCGGATTCACTCGCCACTCACTCACTGACTCACCTGGAGCAATTTTCAATCCTGCAAGCTCCTTAAATGCCCTATACAGGTTAACCATTTTTAAATTTTTATAATATATTTTTACTGTACGTTTTCTATGTTTAGACACATACCATTCTGTTGCAACTTACTACAGTATTCAGTATAGTAACATTCTGTGCAGGTTTGTAGCCTCAGAGTAATAGGTTATATTATATAACCTAATATACAGTAGGTTCGAGGTTTGTATTTAAGTGTATTCTATAATGTTTGCTCAATGACAAAATTGCCTACCGATGCATTTCTCAGAACGTATCCCAGACATTAAGCAACACTTGACTATAAGCCTATACTACATAGTTCGACATTCCCTCCAGAAATAACAAATGAAATGCCAAGTCATCAATATAACATTGATGAGACATGTAGCTCCTAAATGTATCTGAAACAGTACCCCTTAAGCAACAAAACCTGTCTTTCAATCAATTCGATTGTGTATCAGAAATGATCTAATCAGGAGACAGAAACTACCCAGTGACTGAATAGGGAAAGTTTCATTAACTCTTACAGTAGATTGGAATAGTGAGACTGATTGGTAGGAAATAATGAGAACTCTAAGAACTATAGCAAGGAAACCCGCCCACCCCCCACAATGCTTTTCCGACATGGCCTGCTGACAAAGCATAACATCTCTCCAGATAGCAAAAAAGAAAAAAAAAAAAAAGAAAGAAAGAAAAAGGAAAGAAAGGTTCCAATTCCATTTTTACATAGCATAAAAGTAAGGGTGAATTCAGAGCTAAGGCAATAAACTGATAACTGACAGAGTCAAAATCTTTTTGAGCATTTCTTGACTCATAGAACAAATATAGAAGAAAATCCAGCAATCACACTTAAAATACCAAAATCATACTTAAAAATACCAAAAACACACAATTTACATACCTCATGTGTATATACTCTAATAGGTATTCCAAAAGCTCTGGCAAGACCAAAATCAGCCAGCTTAATTGTTCCTTTGTCATCAATCAACAGATTTTGAGGTTTTAAGTCTCTGTGTAGAACTCTTCTAGAGTGACAAAACACAATCCCTTGTAGGATTTGGTACAAATAGCTCTGGAAGAAAACATGTTAGAAAATTAACTATAACATATAATGATTTTCTAAATAACCTTGGTGAGTTTCTCTTGAAGAAAGAAGAAATTATAACGCAGTGAAATTTAACTACCAAAACACTGTCAGGCCATTTAAGATTAACAAGAAGCATTTGAAGGTTGAAAAACCTATCTATATACAATATCATGTTTGTGCACCAAAGACAAAGAAACTCACCTTATGGACACATCTACAGCTATTGAACTCATTTTGTCTTCTACTGTTTTTTGGCCTCTCATTAAGTCACAAGTCAAGTCTTCTGTACGAATGTTTCTTAAACTTTTGCTCTACACAATTGATATTTCTATCTTGAATAAAAATAGTCTTTTTCATTTCTATCTTTTACCTTTACATATTTATTTTCTCTTTGGAGACACTGGTCAGATTCCAGAGAAATAACAAAGATACTGTGATTATGTTTCAACAGATACAATGATCAGAGTATGCTGTTTAGTAGTTCAGAGATAAGTGTTTTGTAACACCCAGAGGAGTGGTTTGCTCAAGCTGGCATCAGGATAAGACATTTTCACTTTGTACACTTCACTACTCTTTAAACAATTAAGTATGCATTTATAGTTTAACAGAACATAATGCCTACAGTTAATTAATCAAAACATATTCAAAACCAGAAAAAATAAAATCACCTGCCTCCACCACCTTGCCCCAGGCTTTTGCTACTTTGTTTTACACATCTGACAGCCAAATAAAGACCAGAATCTTATTTCCAACAATATAATACATACTTATTAGTTTTGTTTTCTTGGACACTACTTTTCAATTTATAATTGGAAGCAATATTTAGTAATAAAATGGTAACTTAACAATCTAATCTGTGGGAAGAAAATGAAATACTCTTTTTTTCCTCATTCTACTTTCTAACACTTTTTCGAAGCATATTTCTATGAAACACAGGCCTTACATAGAGTAGGCCCTTTACATTCACAGTGAATAAGTACTAATAAAATTAGGCAAGCTTCCTACCTTAACAAGTGAAGAATCCATGAATTGACCAGGAGGGATAGAATCCAAGTATTTCTTTAGATCCATGGAAAGGTACTCAAAAATGAGATATAACCTGGAATCCTGCATGAGCACATCTTGAAGACTAAAAAATAAAACAATTATATAGATGAAAAAAAAGAGTAAACATTTTTGACCTCTCATAAAATAAATTCCCAAAATTTCACAGCAGCTTTAAGATATTTTCTATGACAACAAATACATACTGCTTTGGGAAAGAAGAGAATGGTAGCTTCCCTAGTAGTGAAAACCTTCCCTAGTAGTACTAAACAAGAATTTGAGAAAGAAATCTCAAGGCAGCAATCGAAAACTAAGTTGTACTATGTAGAAGTCGCTAACTGTCAAACCACTCATATTCCCAAACATTTCTAGGCTGGCTGGTTGTTGTTCAGTTTGTTTTTTCTACAGAGATAAATTATAGAAATAAATTTTAAAGTAGTATCTGACCTTAACAGTTGCTCACTATCTCTGCACGACCGCCCCCCCCCCCGATTCAATTAAATCCTAACTTGGACCTTTAGAAAGACAACCCACCCCAAAACACCAGCCCACATATTTAAAGAGGAAAGAAAATACTACTCTTTTTCTTCTGACCTAGCTTGCTATCTTAGGACTCTGTTTAAGGTATCTTTAAAGGACTAGAGCTCTAAGAATTGACAAAAGCTCAGGGAAAAGGTCTCCCCTTTCTCCCCCAGCCAGTTTGCCTTAATTTTTCAGCCCCAAATACTAATCTCTATGACCAAGCTCCTCTAACTTGGTTCCTGCTTTTAACAGCCTATTTTGTCCATGTTCAGCATCCTCAAATAAGAAAAATAGTAGGGTTCTATTTCCCTCAGTAAGGTACCTCAAAATTAAGCAAATGTAGAAATTTTCATTGAAATGCCCATTTTAAATAGCATGCAGACAATGGTTAAAATCCAGATATTGTACCATACCTGACTATATTTGGGTGACGAAGTTCTTTTAATAGAGAAATTTCCCGAATTGCAGTGCTAGGAACCCCTTCCTCTTCACTTTCTAGTCTGATTTTCTTCATGGCTACCACTTGACCTGTGGTTTTGTGTCTACCCTTATACACAACTCCATAGGTACCTGAAATAGACAAAGGAAATGTCTGCTATGTGACACCCCTCCACAAACTCAAAGATTTTTTTAAATGACTGAATTGCACAAGGTGTTAAAAGATAAAAATGTCTTGCTGTGTCCAGATAGGAAACATCTTACTCATAATTATACCCTCATCACTTCCAAAAAGAAATTGAGGACAATTATGGGTCTATAATTAAGAAATAAAATTCATGTAGTCATCACAGGCTTTCCATACATTTAAATCACCGGTAATTTTCCAGCATATATTAGAGAAATATATTGGACCCTTTGCAAATTAAATTTATCTCAAATACCCTACCCGACAATAGATAGGTATAAAATACAATATAAAGATTTGGGCACAGGAAGTATTATTAACAGGAGTCACTGTGACACTTTTAGAAAACTCTGTAAATGGTGTTTTACGTATTGCAAATATATAGTCAGTAATTCTCATCCATTAAAGAATGGGGATAAAATATTTTATTAAATGTTTATTAAGTCTTATAGAGGTCACATTGTTTACCAGAGCAGAAAAGCCTCAGGCCCTTTCAGAAGTTGATGAGAACACTGACTCTGATACTTGGGCTGCATACCAAAAGCAACAATGTCAATTTAAAGATTCTGGGGAGGGAAATGGCCATAATAAAAGATGGATTACTTAGCTAAATCAAGTTAATATACATGATATACAAAATTTTCTAGACTTTTAAAGTGCAGTTGGGAAATTCAGGGAAGTCTTGGACCTCTTAATTATTGGATTGACAAGATGTCCGTTTAGTTTTTTCCATAAAGTAAGACACGTTTTTCACTTTCACCAATAATTGACTTGGATATTTTGAGTATGTTGGCTATATCCTGTGTGTTATAACATTGCTTGTTCTCAATGAATGTCTCAATTTGATCACTATCACCTTCAACTGGTCTACCTGACCGTGGAGCATCATCCACCAAAAAATCTCCAGCACAAAAACATAATAAACCACTTTTGACGCATTCGGTCATAGCACCTTCTCCATACACTGCACAAATCTTTTTCTGCATTTCAGTTGAGTTTTTACCTTTCTTGAAATAATAAAGCATAATATGCTGAAAATGTTCCTTATTTTCTTCTATCTTCAATATTAAAATGGCTACACAAAAATTCACCAATTTTGATGTTTTCTTTTAAATGCACATTGATACAATCTAACAAAATTGTTTTGAATAAAGTCAGACAATAAGTGCTGCTAGAGCCACCAGAAAAAAACAAACAAAATTTTTGGCCAACTCAATATGTATAAAATTTTTGTTAAATAGCTTTGCTACTTTTCTATGACATCAGTATAATTTCAAAAGTTGTTAGAGTGCAATTTTCTAGAGAGAACATCTATTCTATAGCTTTTATCAGTTTCTACAATGGTAGAAAAAGATATTTCAAAGAAGGCTAAGAATCAATAACAAATTGTCTGCCTTAAGACATGCTAATCAAACTTATTTTTAACTCAGTAGCAAAATTTTTATAAGTTATATGGGTGTAATAATTTTTTTTTTCAGAAGCAGAAATCATATAGAATTTGTAAGTTATAAGAAACAGCCCTGGCTGGTGTGGCTCAGTGGATTGAGTGTCGGCCTGCAAACCGAAAAGGTCGCTGGTTTGATACCTGGTCAGGGCACATGCCTGGGTTGCAGACCCAGTGCCCAGTAAGGGATGTGGGAGAGGCAACTGATCCATGTTTCTCTTGCACATCATTGATGTTTCTGTCCCTCTTTTTCTCCCTCCCTTCCCCCCTACCCACCTCTAAAAATAAATAAAATCTTGGAAGGAAAGGAGAGAGGGAGGGAGGAAGGCAGGCAGGCAAGCAGGCATCTCCAACACTGCCCACCACACAAAACTGTCATGACTATCTTACTAGATTCCTTGTAGTATTCCTCCCCTTTTTACTAACGCATTACTTATACAAGCAGGGTTTTGGAGCACACTAAAAATATGGTTGAAACTGTTCCTTAAGCAGAACCTATATAAATTGGACTCTAGTAGCAAATTATTTTACATAAGCTATATAATTTGTCCCTGAAGCATTTAGGATGTCCTGTATAAAACTTAAGATATTTTGTTGGGGGAGGGGAAAAACAGCCAAAGGGATATTTTTATTCCTCATTTATACCATATAAACATTCTTTAAAAATGTTAATAAAATTACTACAGATAGGGAACAAATGATTATATATTATTGGTTTTAAAATAGCTTAAACATGTACATATGACAGATCATTTCAACCTAGTATAACTAAATAGAAAATTTTTAAAAATTAGTTTAATAGTCAATTATTGAAACCAGTTCAAAAAATTTAGGTAAAAATAAAATATTTACCACCTTAAAAATAGCTATAGGTGACTAAATGTATATTATGAAATTTAACATAATTCTCCTCCCAACATATATAAAAGACATCAATAGACTTATCAAAATACAAATATTGTTTTAATTGGTTAGTATTACAATATGATTATCGGGAAGGGAGGTTGTCAGGGAGTCATCAGAATAATTTCAATTCTCTTGAAATGTGAACATTTTTGGTTACTTTTGTGTTTGTTATGCAAATAACATATGTATTAATGCACATTAGTAGAGTAAGATACATTAAAGGTTAGATTTTAATAAATACTTACCATACACGTCTTCATATAGCATCATTAAATCTTTAAAACTTTTATATTAAAAAGCACTCACCTTCTCCAATTTTCTCTATTTTGATATAGTCTTCCATAGTCAATCAATAGTTATGGTAGATGCTAAAATGAGAGAAAAAAAAATTATGTGAGTATATGTCACTAATTCCAAGGTCAGTCTTAAGTTATTAATGAGATACAACATGTAAAGCAGTTTCTACAGTGCCTAGTACAGTTATTACTTTTCAATAAACATTAGTTATTATATTAAAACTATATACAAGGGAAAGGACTCGTACAATAAGATTTCCCCACAATTTCTTAGCTCCTTAAGCATTAGAAATATTTGTATATCTTATACCAGTGATTTAGCTTCTTCCAAATAAACCCTCAAATTCAGACATTAACTTATCTCTCATTCCCAAACAAAAACCAGAAGTATGTTTTCTATCAGAACACTTCTAAGGAGCACCATTGTGTGCCAAAGTTATACTCAGCTATTTCAACAAATAATGTTATTTGACATTTCTACTGCTTTATGATTTTATAAAGATAATCTTAAGACCTTAAGTGGGGAGATAAAATGTAGTCATACTGTTGATTTATTAGAAAAACTGATAAGGGTCATGGCTAGGTAGCCCAGTGGGTTAGAGCCTCTCCAGATACACCAAGGCTGGGAGTTTGATCTCCAGTCAGAGGACAGACAAGAACCAACCAATTAATGCATCAATAAGTGGGACAACAAAAGACGTTTTTCTCTCTCTCCCTTCCTCTTTTTCTCTAAAATAAATAAATTTTAAAAAGAAAAATTGTTAAAATCATAAGTGTTTAAACTTGATCAAGTGACTTTCCGTCTTTCTCCTGTTTTTAGCAGTCACATACACAAACATGATGAAAACTTTCAAGGTACTTTTTTAAACAGTAGGAAGTATCATTTCACACCCTAAAAGGTGCAATTTCACAGATAAAATTCTAATTATACCCTATATAATCTCAAAAACAAAGTCAAAAAAATACTTGAATCACAAAGAACGGTTTAAAAAAAAAGTTGAAATGCTGACAACCACTCAAGACTGCCTCAGTAAATTTGCCAATTAAACTTTAGAAGCCCAAAGCGTAATTGACTTTCTAACACACTCATCACTGATAAGAATCATACATAAAGATCACTGAGTAACTGCCTCTTAAGCTCTATTTCTCACATTCATCTTCAAAATCATTCCGGAAATAAGTAGATAAATCATCTTTTTTACATGAACAAAATTGGACTTCATTAGCCATGAATGTTAATCCTCAAAATTTTTAATTTTAAGAAATGGTAATGTACAAGATAATAAGCTTTTCTTCAATATCCAGATTTAGTATGTCTAGTGCATAATAAAACTGTTGAGCTCACTTTGAATGAACAGCTAAAAACTAACTCAATTTCAAAGCTTTAAATACACTTTAAATACACTTTAAAAAGTGGGTTTAAATACACTTCCTCCATTTTCCCGCTGTGACAATTCTAAATAAAGGATACGCTTTAGGCCTTTTGAGTGCCTCCTAGGGCTCTGTACTAATAGCTGCAGCGTGTAAAGCACCAGTTGCTCAACCACCTAGAGACTTCCAGGTATTTAGAAGTGTGTTCTGTAAGGTAGTATTAAATAAAAATTGATTGAAGATATTAAAACCCACAGATTTATGTATCTTTCGTCATTTCTTGCCGCTTTTTACTAATTCCATAGTATGTAACAACCATGAGCATAAAATAGAAACAAAAAAAAAAAAATTCAAGTTCCCTCTGGCTGTGTGCCTTGGCTAAGTCTTCTTAAAAGGCTCTGGGTGGGCAAGGTCCTGGGCACAGGGGCAAGTCAGAGAAGGCCCACGGGTTAATTCATCAGATCGGTTTCCAAAGCGCCTGGATTCAAGGGCTGGCGTGGGTACCTGGCCCAAGTGCGGTCTTGCTTTCCACCCACGGAAGCGAGGGCAGAGAGCACAAAGGACCCGGGACGGACCTTCGCATTCCGCAAGCGCTCGGCGCGGTGGAGACTAAGCACTGACTGGGCTTCAGCCGCTACCCAAAACCCTCCTTAGCCAGGTGGGCGGCCTCTTCCTGACCACAGCCGACCGAGACCCCAGAAGCCAACTCAGAGGCCAGGACAGCCCCATCCCTCCCCAGAGAAACTCCCCCCGCTCGGCGCCCCCCCGCCCCCATGCCTCTCTTGAAAGCCTGGCACGACGTAGCTCACACGGCCCGGGCTAGAGGCTCCAGGTGAAGGCCAGGCCCAGCATCCAGAGGCCCGGCCTGGCTCCGCGCAAACCCCAGCTGCTCGGCTCAGCAACCGCATTACCGCCTGGTCCCTCAATACTCCCCCTCCAAAGCCCCCAAGCCGGCCCCTGTCAGCCCCAGCAGCATGACCCTGAACCCAGCAACTTTACCCGGCTAATCACCCCGCAGCGAAAGCGGCGGCGGCGGCGGCTACCACGTCGGCGTCACTCTCTCCTTAACTTCCCAGAGCCAGCTTGGAAGGTAAGTGCAATCAGTTTCAAACTCACCGCGCTAAAGGACCCGGACCCACCAATCAGGTGATCCGTAGACTTTCAAAGGAGCCAATCAGAGACCAGTCACGCTTGGGTTGGGCGTCCCCAGTGGCTAGAGCGCCAAAGAAAAAGAAAACGGCGGCTTCAGAAAAAGCAGGAGGGCGGGCGCAAACTGAGTCTGAGCGCAGGCGCTGTCTTGCTTCCCGGGAGAGCGTCGTCCTACTGTTTCTAGTCATCAGGAATCTACTGTTGGCTCTCAGTTGGTTGCTCTCACCGCCCAACATTAGCACAATTAGTTTAGTATGTACAAATAACTCATCACAGTAGTGATACTATACTTGCATCCAGATCCCATTACTTTCACTTTTAATGCTTAAAGGTATTGCATATTTATGTTTTTCTAACCGGATGACTTTCGAGCTGGACGAAGGAGCATTTTTTAATAGTTACCTTAAGATGACAATGGAAAACACAAAGATGCTCTCAACGATGTAAAGAATATATATGTACTATATAAACGCGCTTTGTTTTACCTCACTTTTAAACACTATTTTGTATTTATTTAAAATTTTACTTATTTAAACATAAAAGATAAACTTTTACATTTTTAAAGTATTTTCACATCAGTATTTTAAATGTTCCTTAAAACAAAAAAACATCAAAATTCTATAAGGGAAGAAAAAGAGATCTAAATTATACTTTAGATAAATCACAAACTTTCTCTTTAATTTCCCTCTACCTTATCTTTAAGAGAGATTTCTGCACTTGAAAATCATTCTTAAATCTTGAAGACAATAAAAAAATACAATAGAACTGCAGATAGTAAGAGTCCCCTAGTAAGGATCTCTCTTTGCACCCTAAAGGGATACAGAACAAAGGTTGACTGCCATGACCTCTACAAACATGTGTTAGATGACCCAGATTAGGATAAGGAATAGAACTAGTATATCACATTTAAGTGTTTGATATCTTTTTATACAATGAGTAGCATATGTCATCTGACCCTATATGTTGCACAATTTTATGTTCCTAGATGACAGAGGTGGAACATTCATAGTGGGGGTAGGGTTTTAGAAAAGCTCTGCCTAAACCTTATAACTTTTAAAACTTACTTTTAAAATCCTAAATTCACATTTTAAATGAAAACTGACTACCCCAGCGAAAAGCTCTAAGAAAGAAGACTGTTCTCCATTAGTTGAAGGTATTGATTTGAATGAATGAATAAATGAATGAATGAATGGAAAAATATGTATCTTTCTCTCTGGGAGGCCCAATTAACAAATTTAATTTTATATCATCTTAAGAACAGGCAGCAATTCATTATATCTGATCTACATTCAATATAAAGAGAACACAAACTTCCACAGAAATTCTTTATTTTTAATTTTAGCTAATTATCTTTGTAGGCATGATTGTAAATTCGTGCTACAGTTTATTACACTTAGGGTCCACTTATATTCAGCATCTCTAAAGTGTAATGCTGTGTTTTATAGGAAGAAAAATGAATCAGCTACAATTCCTGTTGTAGGTGTGCGGTGGGAAAACAATGATTACTTAGAATACTTTTCTGCACTTATGTTGTAACATGCTATAAGGTGATATGAGAACATAGAGGAGGAAATTACTAATTCACACAGAAAAAGTGACATTTGAACAAACAGGAGAAAAAAATCGTGCGGTATGCCTTCTAAGTACCAGAAATGGCATGAGCAAAGCCCTAAAAGCCTGCCCAAGTAATTCAGGATGACTTCATCATAGGATGCAGGGTATCTGCAGGGTTATGTAGGGAGGAGAGTTTGGAGTCAGAATCTTCAAGAACCCTGAATACTGTTGTAAGGGGCTGCTCAGGAGAAGTACAGCCTTGGAACCAAATTTTAGAACTATTTTAGAGGTGATATATAAATAGAACTGAAGAAGAGAGGATGGAAAGGCAGGTGTTCCAAAAATTTTCACATTTATATTTTGATAAAGTCTACTTGGATATAAAAGGAACTGAACACAAAGTTTTTGTTTTGTTTTTAGAAATAAGTATTGCTGTCTAATGAACTATGCTCCTCATCCATCCCACCCCCAAGAAATTCATATATTTAAGCTCCAACTCCTAATGTGATGCTATTTAGAGATGCAGGTCTTTGGGAGATAACTAGGTTTAAATGAGACCATGAGGTTGAAGTTTTTACAGTGGGATTGGTTCCTCTTATAAGAAAGGACACCAGAGAGCTCAGTCATGTGAAGATACAGCAAGGAGCCTCCATCTATAAGCCAGAAAGACAGCTCTCACTGGAACCTGACCATACTGGCACCTTGATCTCAGACTTCCAGGCTCCAGAACTGTGAGGAAATTAATTTCTGTTGTTTAAGCCACCCAGTCTGTGGTATTTTGTTTTGACAGGCCAACATACTAATACCAGTGGTTTTTCAGATAAAGAGAAAAGTTTGAGAAACAGTTACATATAACCACAATAGTCCCCCCCCTTTTTAGTAATTTCACTTTCCACAGTTTCAGTTACTTACAATCTACTGTGGTCCAAAACTATTAAATGGAAAATTACAGAAATAAACAAATCATTTCAGAAATAAACAAATCATGAGTTTTAAATTGTGTGCCATTATGAGCAGTGTGATAAAATCTCGCATGGCCCCACACAGATATGAGTCATCCCTTTGTCCAACACGTCCACGCAGTAGACGTACCCAACGTCCCGCTAGTCACTTCGTAGGCATCTTGCTTATCAGATCAACTGTCACAGTATCTCAATGCTTGTGTTCAAGTGGCTATTATTTTACCTAATAATGGCTCCAAAGTGTGAGCAGGGATGCTAGCAATTTGGGAATGCCAAAAAGAAGCCATAAAGTGCTTTCTTTAGTGAAAATGTGAGTTTTAGACTTTATAAGGAAAGAAAAAAAGAAGTATGCTAAGATTTCTAAGATCTACAGAAAGAACAAATTTACCCATGAAATTGTGAGGAAAGAAAAAGACAATTGTGGTAGTTTTGCTGTTGAACCTCAAACTGCAAAAGTTACGGCCGAAATGCATGGTAAGTGTTTAGCTAAGATGAAAAAGGCATTTACTTTATCATACATATCTATGTATAAAAACAAAATGTGTGTGTGTGTGTGTGTGTCTGTACATATATTCTGTCTTGGAACATATGCTCTGCAAATAAGAGATGATCACTATACATAAAATACCCTGGAAGGAAATGCAAGAAACCATTAACAATGTGCCTCTGGGAAGTAAAAGAGTGACTGAGGCACAGAGGGGCAGGGAGACTTTTGTATCGTTTGAATTTTGAACCGTGCGAGAGTGTATATCCTGGCCCAAAGTTGAATGAATGAATGAATCTTGCCAAGGCCTTTTTTGCTATGGGATACAACTCAGAGAAGTTGCTGAAAATTTTATCGAGAGGAGAAGACCGATCTTCTTTTCCATTAATTCTGCAAGTAAAATGATGAAAAAAGCAAGACATACGGTTTCAAGATCTTTTTATCAAAACTGAAAACATTGAACTATCATGGTTGTTCCTGACTTAGGCATTTTTCTAACAAAGTAATAGGCAATTTGGGGGCAAATTTTTCAAAAAATTCCATAATAAACCTTATCATATATAACCTCCATGGCCCCACTCTCATTCCCCCAACAAAGGAGAGTACAAGCGGGATCACTGTCAACATTCTGGCCTCCGTACTTTAAATGCACAGGTGTCAACCTGCATCAGTCTTTCATAGGAGTTTCAGGAACTAATGATGGGGTAGGGAGAAGAGATTCATCCATCAGCCTTGGGACCAATGAGGATCATTGGGTCTTCCCATCTAGGTGAGGAGCAAATGCTTACAGTGCAATAGGTAAAGGCTGCTCTGTGCAGAGAATGCTGGTTCTTAGGAGGAGCATGAGTGCAGTGGTGGGCGGAGGGGTCAAACCAGGCTTTGTAGTAGAGGTGGTATCTGAAATGAGTCTTGCAGAGTGAAGAGTCTGCCCAGCAGTCACACAAGTAGGGAGAATTTACTCGTCCATGGAGAACAAATAACAAGGCATGTTTGATGGACTGAAATTAATTCAGCAAGGCCAGAATATAAAAGGAATCTGGTGGTTGGAGAAAGGGTCAGAAATATAGGCTAGGGAGCTAGATACCCACAACTCAAATGGCCTTTATGAGTCATGCTAAAGGATTTGAATTAGATAATGATTATGACATGTAAATTTTTACAATTTCTGTCAAATTTGAGAAAACATCGTTTTTCTCACATATCTGTTTATACTGCTGCTCTAAGTTTATGTCCTACAAGCACAGGAATTATAAACTATTCTAATTTGCATGATTATAAACTTCCAGGTTAAAAATTATCTGATGTATTTATAATTGTTCATGCTGTGTTAATAAGTATATTCCTGACACAGGAGAAGTTCAGTTTAGATGAAGTAATGATGTAATTTTATGCATCTGAAAATTGGAAGAATTTTCCACAGGTTAGCTTCTCTATTACCCATTGCCCACTTACACAGAGGTCAGATAATATCTCTGAATCTATACCTTCATTCCTGGATGCCAGGAGAGTCAGCAGAATGACTTAAAGGAGTATCCCCAGAAACCATTCCTACATTAGGACTGCTGCCAATAACTCGGAAGTGTGTGGATAAATAACTAGCTACCACGAATCCTAAACTAAACACATCCTCAACTCAGTTTCTCCCGAGCTGAATCCCAAAAATGTCCATGGTCCTGCCAATGCCACTGGACCGGTGAGGAAGAATGACTGATGGGGAGTGAAGTGGAAAGAAACAGCAGCCTTAATGAATTGTGGTAAAAATACCTTATTTTATATAATTTACAAACACATGACCATGTGAACATTCCTCTCAGAGCCCTGGAAAGGGTCTGTTCAAAGGCAGGACCCTGACCTTAAAGCTTCATTAGATTCATCG